TCAGCCTCGAAATTATATTTAAAAGAAATACTCATTTAAGTTTTTTATTATTATTTCAATGGACAATATTATTATTATAATTATAGGTACTATAGTCGATAATAAACGGATCTAATTAATATTCCACGCGATACAATATGGCCGCATAACAATACCAAGAGTTAAATATTCAGAATCGATCATCGTTTTAATTTTTAAAAAAAATAATATATAACTATACATATATATATATATATATACCAACGAACACATACCGTATTCTAATTAGGACTGCGCAAGTTGTGTATATTAGATTTATTTTTAAACCAAAGGAATACATTTTAAAGAAACCACAAACGATCAAAATTCACCAAGAATTTCCTACAAAAATTTTTAAAAAACCAATCCTCATCTAAAAACCCAATCAATCCTTTTGGTGGAAACGTACCTACAGGAAACGATTACAAGCATAATACTAATATCATCATCAGCAACAGCACATTATAAACACATCAATCGTGTGTATGTGTGTGAGGCATACATAACAAGTACAATACTTAAATGAGTAATGACTATTACCTTTTTATTAGTTTTGGCCAGGCACATATACCTCCTGTCCGTCATAACTAAACTGTAATTAACATAGAGCCAATTAGCTCATTGACTAAAATTTTTTAATACAGGAAAAATGCAGAGCTTAAGAACCCTGAAATTGTTTATCGAAGTGGGTAATAAATAAAAAAATTTCAAAACCGGAAACGCCGTTTGACATTAGATCGCTCTAATAAATAAATAAATATTATAATATCAGGTCATCAGTTTTTTTTTTTGAGAAAAATCAGAAGAAAAATATTAAATAGATGCCACGTTTAAAGGCAAGACGAATAATTGGGTAATTAACAAAATCAATACACACACACACAGACACAGACACTATATGAAGATTATTCTTTTTATATTATGAGACGGATTTTTTTTTTTTTTAATACTTATTGGTCGTTACACGCACACGCAGGTGTCTAACGAAATTACCCGAATCGAATGGTTAGGTTTTTTTTTATTTCCCTCGTTTAATCTCTATCCTATCACGGCTATTATATTTTGTATTACTATAAGCGCACGCATATATATATATATATGTATATATTATAATATACAAGAATATAACAATAATAATAATATCGTTATTACATCCTGTGGGAGCTGCGTGCCGACCGTTTAAAAAAAAATAATAATTGTAATCGTATACATTAAAAAAAAAAAAAACGGTTGTAATGGCAGTTGTATATGTGATATAAAAAAAACACTATATAATAATAATAACAATAATAATAATTGAAATTTCGCACGGTGCTCTCTGTGCACGGTGGCCAATGCAAAACGATTATCGCGCAGTGCACTTGCTACCATAAGGACAAGACGTCTTACAATGAGACGTTGAGATGATGATAATAATAATAAAAACAGCATCTACACACAATTTTTTTTTTTATTAATACTATTATTATTATTATTATGGTCGTTTAGAGATGAGCGCGCAAAATGTAATAACATAATATTAATTATTATTACTGTTATTATGTATTGTATTGGCGTGTACATTGTTATTAAAAAAACCGTGTAAATGCGTGCCGTAAAATCGTATACGTCACTTACACGGGCGGTCGGTAGTCGGTTTTTTTTTTTCTCGAAAAATCAAAAAAATTTCTCGGCCAAATCAAAACAAAAAAAAAATTGAGAAGAATTTTGCACGTACCTTGATGACGAGCGACGACAACACTAGGGCGACGGCCACCGCGAACCACGGCGGCGCGGGCGACTTGGTGGCCGGGGCCACCGGGCGGCGGCGGCTGCGGTGTCGGCCGGTGGCGAGCGCGTCGTGGACGCCGCCGGCCGTAAGCCGGGCTGGCCACCGCGGCCGCCATACCCATTTATCCTGCGTGTTCTCGGCCGGCGCGGCCGCCATCCGGCCGCGGCGGTCGTCGTAGTCACAGGCACCGGTGTCGTCTTCGACGGGACGCCGGCGACGGCCGCTGCCGCCGCCGCCGCATGTGCAACTTCCACAAGCGGCGGCCGCGGCCGGCGGCGGAGGGATCACGGTGATAATGATGTCGGACGTTGTTTCAATCGCGCCGATACGACGGGTCGGCGGCGGTTTGACGCATAGCACGGGACAAAATTTGTTGTTTTTTTTTAATTCAATATTCCGATTTCGACGCGGGGAGAAAAATGTCGATTAAAGTTTTAGCGCCTTTTTTTTTTTTTTTTTGTAAGTCAACAATACTCGCACGCTCGCGTGTGTACACGGGCGGGACGCACTAGACGGGACGCGTGAAAATATCAAATCGACGACGGCGGCGGCGGCAACGCGACTAGCAGTAATGACGGCGGCTGCTCGGAGGCACGACGGACGACCGATGTCTAACCACGGGCAAAAAGCGGGAGTACACAGCCCGGAGCTGTGCTTCTGTGGTGACGGTGGCGGCGGCGGCGGCCGCTGCGGTGGCATTGGTGGGAGTACCGCAAGGGCGGGCGACGGCGCGGCGGCGGTGGTGGTGGTGGCTCGCGGCCGGCCGGTCACCGGCTCGCGCATCACGGCGTTCGGCGGCGGCGGCGGCGGCGGCGAGGCAATGCCCGAGGCCGTCGGGTTGACGGCGGTGCGAGATCGTGCCGGCCGGCAAGAGAGACCACCGTCAATCTAGATCTAATTCCACCCATCGAGAGAAAGAGACTTACGACGCGCGGCTTAAGGCGTTCGGATTGGCAACAACAATATAATAACACACACACATTGTACATCGAGCTTATGTACCTACGAAAGGATGAAGCCGAAAAACCGATTTGTATACAGGGTGATTCCGGATTCACTAAGAACTATGCGGAACAGTCGATACATCTTAAGATAATAAAATATATGAAGGGGACGTCATAAGGTAGGTTAGGTATAGGCAATCTGTTGCAACATCTCAGCTCAAAGGTTACACACTGTGATGTGTAATTACCAGTAATTAGGGCTCTTTTTTTTTGGTGGTTAATTTATTGTCCGGACTATCAAAGCATACTTGACAGCAAATTGAAAAAAAATGTTCATCTTAATATCTTTATTATTGACTAAATGATAATCGTAGAACATTTTTTTTTACATATTTAAAGTAATGAGAACTTTATCTAGGTCCTCTCTTCGGCTTTGTTTTTTGTATTATTATATATATATATACCCAATATTAACAATTTATATTTTAATCCTGGCATTTTGTTTACTTTTTTAAGTGCTTATATTCAAGGTAAAATTTAAGTTTTTTTTAAAAATTGACGAAAGAGCGCCTACCTAATGTTTTTTTCTTTTTAATAGTCTCAAAATTGTTTTTCTATGACCATTTCGCTTTGAACTACACGCTTTTCCATGAACATGTTTTTATCATTATTTTTAAAAGGTACGACGTCCTCTTAAGACTTTTTTTAAATGTTCCATACTTTTAACACGGTTATTAGTTATTATAGCCCAAATTTGGCATTTTTTTAACCATAATAATATAACCTCATCCCTATGAATTGGATTATATAAATATATGAATTATGATGATATTATCTCAGCTTTTTTCCCGGCTAAATTAAGAATAATTTGCTGCAAATTTTTACTGCTCGATAACCAGTTTTGGACGATTACTTTTTAAGGTTATTTAAGTTTAAAAGTAAATATTATCCAAAACTGGTTATCGACAGGTCAAAACGGTCAGAAAATTATTCTTAATTCAAAACGTCAGTTAAATACTATACAATAATACTTTACCATTAAAAAAGCTTTTAGTACACAAGATTTTTTAACACATAAGGGATAGGGTTATGCGTTTTGAAAGTATAATTCAGTTAAGAGTTCAGAAAAAATAGCTTTTCGGCTTCTCATTGGACAATAATAAAATAAAACATCTTCGCGAAGCTCTTTTGCTCACTTGGATACAAGACATTCGACTTGCCCGCCTACAGTACAACTCAAGTTTATATTATAGTAAGCAACTTTCCCCCCCTCCCACCAAAGACTCGAAATTTGAATTCGTTAAGTAAATGTAATTTTGTATATTTTTGTAGCGTTAATGCTCGCAACGATACAAATGTAAATGATAATGCAATTATTGAAGTACTGATTTATTTCTTGAAGTCCTCTTAGGTATTATAACATCATAGTATAATACATATTAAAAACCACACGCATATTACAAATCACTTTCAAATAAACGCTTCGATGCGAATTTGTAATGGTAGACACTTGTCGATTAAGTCGTTGTACATCTAATGGCAATAATGTGCTTAAAAATGTGTTTACAGTATTAGGGTGGATACGGTTATAGGGTTGATCGTTTGTCTAGAACAATGTATCGCCATAGTTACCCTTAAATTATATCTTAATTGGCTGGACCTTTATTTTGACACTTTCTTACTGTGCTGGGACTGCCGGTGTATGCTGTATGCTTGGTTTGGACTATATCCACTTGGTCTGGACTGTACTGGATTCTTACTATCCAGTAAGATTCGCACCGAAGCGTTTGTTTGAAAGTTATTTCATCACTTTCAGTTGTAACAATTGCTGTATGGACCCGCTGTGTTGGCATTTTGCTGGTCTTAAACTGACTGCCAATCGCCTAAATCAAAAAAGACATTACACCGGCAATGGGTTACGCTAATACCTGTCATTCGTTTATTGCCTGTTCATCTTATCTCATCGAGAATCTTTCTTATATTATAGTGTGTGTGTGTGTGTAGAGTAGGCAAGGTAAGAAAATAGAAAACAAAACCGTCGAAACTAGCAAACCCCGGCTCTCTTCTGTTGAACAAACAACAACAATGAACTCGATAATAACACACAAACCGTACCGTCATAATAATAATAATATTTATATTATGTTGTGTGCTGGCTGAAAAAACGGCTGGCAATCCAAACGAGTAGTCGTGACGGCCGCGCGGTGTTTAATAATATTATTGTCTTTGTTTTCAAAAAACGATAAGAAACGACACGAGAAGATAATATGTTTTTCCTGTTCGGATACGTGTCTTCCCTGTGGGACGGCGGAAAAAGGGCAAAACTTCAAAACTCAGAAAACGTTTTGCGCACCAATTACCCCATTGACTTAGAGTCTATAAAAGGACTTGAGCCCTACATAGAACACCCTGACCGCGAGCCACCACAACGGGTGGTCGACGACTTTATCCGGTAAGGAATTATCAATAATAATAATAATAATAAACTGTTTTTTTTCGAAAACAAGTTGGTACCCGGCCAAATGGAATTAGGCCAACGACCCTTTTGGCGGGGGAAAAAAATATATATAAAATGTTCTCCTAAAAAAATTACACTTAAACCATATTTTCAACCCGTTGAGAAGTGTTACAGCTAGTTTTTCACTCAATATACTTAAGTTTCCAATACACTACTAACAGCTATAGTCGAGTGCTCTGAATACCTGATATGATGCTGAAAGCGTCAGATAACAGTTTAAAAAATAAATAATAAGTGCTAAGTGAATAGATACGGTGGGTAAAAAAAGTCTCCGTACACTGTTGTCAATTTTTTTCAAAAACATAAAATGATAATTTAAAAGTTGATTAACTTCATATTTTTAACACACATTTATTCAGAAACATATTAATATTTGTTTTTAGAAAAATAGAGCATATATATTAATTAGTTTATTTTATACATGTATATATGTACAACAACTTTGGAAAATAACAGCAAAAAAAGTCTCCGTACAAAATAACATAAATATTTTTAACATGATATATTGTAATAATTATCGTTATTAATGGTCAGTTGGCCCTCCTCTAGCTATAACAACTTCGTGCATTCGTTTTCCCATTAATTCTACTAATTTTGTCGTAACAGTAGAATCAATACTGTTCCATACTTCTAGTATTGCATTTTTTAATTGTTCTTTGTTTCGAGTTTGGTAATTTTTAAGACGTCTACCTATTTCCTCCCATAAATGTTCTATAGGGTTCATGTCTGATGATTGTGGAGGTGTGTTAAGTTGTTTTGGTACTCGGTATAACAACCATTCTTTAACATTTTTCGCGGTATGTTTTGGGTCGTTATCTTGTTGGAATATAAACGAATTGCCAATATTTAGTTTTTCAGCACTTGCATGTAAGTTATTTCTCAAAATGTTTAAATAAACATGTTGATCCATAATACCATCGATAAATACCAAATTACCAACACCTGCAGCGCTCATACAACCCCAAACTAGTACATTACCGCCATGCTTTACCGTTGGGCACAAATTTTTGCAATCCATCTGCTTATTAGGTTTTCTCCACACCATAACTCGCCCATCTGAACCAAAAATATTAAACTTGCTTTCGTCACTAAATAATACAGATTTCCAAAAATCATTTCCCTTATGAATGTGTGCCTTCGCAAAATCTAAACGTTTCCTTTTATTTATTTGACTGATAAAGGGTTTTTTCCTAGCTACACAACCTTTATATCCTGCGTTTCTAATAACATTACGAATGGTCTGAGGCACAACTTTCACATTATAGTCAGTATCAATCATACCAGCCAGTTTAGGTGCACTGGTTTTTGGTTCCGTCACAATTGTCCTTAGAATGGCCCTCTTTTGGTGTGATTTCAATTTTTGGGGACGACCAGTACGTTTTCGATCTTCAAAAGAATCAGTTTCGTTGTATCGGTTTATAATATATTGTACAGTCGAGTGCGATTTATTTATTGTTTGTGCAATATTTCTGAGAGAATTACCATCTTCTCTTAGTTTAACTACTAATTTACGAATATGAATTGAATAAAACGGACTAAGCGTATGTCTATTGTTCTTAATGGCTACAAAAACAATAATACCATGCTCGTTGATATGTAGAACTCTCAGTCCATACGGGTTTTCCCTATTCCGGTACTATTTTTATCTGTTATTCATACACATCAATAAATGTACGGAGACTTTTTTGCTGTTATTTTCCAAAGTTGTTGTACATATATACATGTATAAAATAAACTAATTAATATATATGCTCTATTTTTCTAAAAACAAATATTAATATGTTTCTGAATAAAAGTGTGTTAAAAATATGAAGTTAATCAACTTTTAAATTATCATTTTATGTTTTTGAAAAAATTTGACAACAGTGTACGGAGACTTTTTTTACCCACTGTAGATACTAATTAATATATCCTATTAAATTGGCTCTGGCAGTCAAATTGTTAATATCTATTTGACAATTACACATCCCTCTAATAATAATAATACTTTAATACTATAGTTAATACTTAGTACTATACTAGAATGTGACACGGCACTTGGTATATTTGATATTGACTAAACTGAAATTTCTAAATTTGCCCAGTTCAACAAAGTGTTAGTAGTTTAATAAAATATGTATATCAACCTCTGCTCCAATGTAATATGCGTGTGCATTTTAATATGTATTATACTATTATTTTATATAACAGAGGGAGCTAATTGTTATTTCTGAGTTAAATTATTGTATTTTAGTTAGAAACAGAAAATGTCACATGTTGTATACAATATTGTATACACCATATTTATAATGTTATACAGAAATAAAATATTTTTTTAGATAAATTTGTATGCTAAGAGATTCAATAATAATTCATAACAGTTCTGCGTCAAGTCTAAAAATATCAATCTCGCAATAACATATATTTTGGAAAATTTACTAATAAGAACAGCTTTTTAAATTATACACAAGATTAGTAATTATATTTATATAATAAGTCATACAAAAAAAAAATTGAGGTTAGCTCGCTAATTCTTAGGTTAAATTTATGTTTGCTGTTATTATAAAAATACAAAACTTGTTTATTCTTTAAGTTTAAAATCTATTGGTAAACTTTTATAATGTTTTCTTTAAAGAACTCGAAAAATCATCAGTAAAAAATAGACAAATAAAAAAAATTTGTAATTTTCATAATGATGAATGTTGATGTCCTTAATAAATTTAAGATGTTATATCAAAACAGTTTGACGATTTGTACTTAGCTGATACAAGGTAATCATTTAACTATGTCTATATAGGTCATAAATATATTAAAAATGACGGCCATAAAAAATAGTAATTCAGGAAAAACTCACACCTTTTAATTATTATAATATATTGTAAGGGTTTGCAAAAACTTTTGCATTTTCCTTAAGTTGCATAACTTGCATTAAATCATTTGGTTTTCAATAGGTAAATTAAACATATTGGACTTTTAAAAGTTACCTTGTAAAACTGTATTTCTGTTTAGAAAATGTTATAAGTCTTAATTGAACAATATTACGGCTCGACAGCTATAATAGTTATGTTGAAATAAAATAAATAATATTCAATAAAACAAAAATAATTATCACTTATAAAATATATATTGTCGATGAAATAGAAAAGCCAACTAATTTTTAGTATAATATTTTCACCTGAACATGGACAAGACTTAAGTGTGATTTTTACATGGGTATAAATTATTCAAGCATATACATTTTTGTCCCTAATAGTACTTGCTGGACGACTCGACTTGTATTAAAGCTAGGACAAAATTTCAGGATTCGCTATAACTTAAACGACGGTCAAATCGAAGTCAATCAAATAGAAACGGCGGTGATTTTGGGCTTGGCGGCTACTTCTTTGGCCGTGGCCGGTTATGGGGCTACCAAATCCGTCCGAAGCCTCAAGACGTACATGCATAACAAATGGGGTAAGACACACGTCTGTGATGCGTGACAAGTCGCTACTGCTCTTAACAGGACATTCCTATCCTCCCCCCTCCCCTCCTCGTTTAAACATTTGTACCACTGTCGAAAAGGTAGCCATACTGTAGGTTTCCATTTATATAATATGATTTCTCGCAGACGATTAAATAAGGAAATAAAGAGCAACTAGCGTTTTTATTATCTATTTAAACTCAAGGAATATATTGTATAAAATGTGTTTGAAAAAAAAATATTGAAAAAACTGTGTGTAAAATATTTGTTTGTAGCAGCAATTTGTTTTAAATAATTGACAGTGATAACAGATTTAAAAATAAGACATTTTTATGCTGAGTGTTTTTTGTTTCCCTAAAACTACTTGATTAATACAAATTAATTAAACTATCCTAATCAAACGAGCATTACAACATAGAAAAACGATACATTAACTACGAATAACAACGGTTACTACTTACTACTATATTAATCATGGGTAATAGTTAAATTAATCATGATTGAAAATTTAACCTTTTTGTTGGTACACACGAATAAAGTAATTATTGATTTGAGAAATATTTTTTTTTTATGCACTTAAACTCGAGGAATATGTACAAAATATGTATAAAAAAAAAACTGTGAAAAATATTTGTTGGCGTCATAAAACTACTTGATTAATACGAACGAATTAAACTATCCTAATCGAACGAGTATTACATAAAAAGCAAACACGGTTAAAAAATGTTAATCACGATTGACAAATTTACAGTTAATTCAATTCGTCATTCGACCGGTTATGAACAATCGACTTTCATTAAAATAAAATAATATATATTAACTAAATAATGCCCAACCCTGCCGAGAGCCTTTGAGCCCGCTCAAGTTCTCCCTTGTCGGTAGGTAGGTCTACGGCCTCCTCGCAGGTCTGTACCACGTTAATGACACTGTGTAATACGTTGTGCATGTGCAGCAATACCTTCGATAGTCAAAGAGACATCGGTCACGTCCGTTTACCAATGGCTGAGCAAACCCATTGTGACGGCCAACAACGCGAACAAGCGGAATCGGTCGAAAACCGCTTTGGACCGGTTCGTGTGGACCGAAAAGACTCGGACGAAATGCTCGTAAGAGAGATGGGTTTTTAATGTAAAAGTTATTTTTTGTAAGAAAACGCATCCGTTGCTACTTAGGACGATAACGCAGTACGCGCAGTCGGCCGCCAAAAATCCGAAGATACCGTTCAAAAACGTCTTGGTGTACGGACCGCCGGGAAATGGAAAATCGTCGTTTGCCAAAGTAGGTACACAACTCTTGAGTGTACATTTTCATTTTCATTTTTAGCGTTTTCCAACGCTATAATTGCAAATTACAAAATCACTTATAGGTGTTAGGTGCGGTGGCGAAGGGTACAAAGTATCTAAAACACTTAATTTCACACACGACAACAACAAACACATACAAACAACCCCATTTTAAGTTAATTACATTTTGTGACATGGTAAGTGTGACACTTAGTGCTGACGCCATCGTGGAGGGATTGTGTTATCAAAATAAAGTCAAGAGTATCCACACTTCATGCGGATACATCAAGTCGCAGGATATATTAGGATATGAATTTGTTAAGTAGGCGAACCGCGGAAATTGATTTATGAGAAATGTTAAATATTGATAAATGTTGCCAGCGAATCGATTAAGGCCAGATATTGTAAAACTACTAAACAACGTTTGGCCAGAACATATTATAAGCAAGACTATGCTATCGTCGTACATAATAGGTGTGGGTACTCTTAACTGAGTTTACCTACTATGATTTCTTGTATCTCTCATTCACAAAATATATTCTAAGACCTATCGTCTTAACTAAGATACAAGACAAACCGGGTTGACGCTTGCCCGGGCATTACTCTACAACTCCAAAACCACTCGTTGTACACTATCTAATATTCTAATAAATTAATTAGTCTACTCACACACAACATTCTCGTTTCAACCGAAAGCAAAACGATTATTGACCATGTTTGGTAGCGTAAAACAACCTCTTTAACCTAAAAAAAAAAAATCCGGAGAAAGCCGAAACGTACTGGGCCGCATTAAATTCTATTCGGTTTCCAGTAAAAACCAACGAAAAATTGTCACTACTAATCACACGTTGAACGTCTTGAATGTCAATGTACCTATACTGAACACTGGACGAGTACCTAATTATTATTATGGCTCAATTACTGGTTTCAACACAACCCAGTAGGTCATCTACATATTATGACCGAGTAGAAAAAGAGCAGCTTAAAATAATAATATGCAAATAACAGTCATCGTGACTACTTTTTTAAACCTTTTTTTCCCACTAGCTTTATACATCGATCCTTGGACGTTAATTAATCACAGACAAGTTTAAATTACTGATTTATTTTTATTTTTTGATAATAATAAAATATTATATTTATATAAAGGACATTTTTTTTTCAGACATCATTAAATAACTTGCACTTTATTTCGACCTAATTATTTGTATAAAAAAAAAAAAAAATTAGAACTTTACGATGGTTATAAAAGAAATATCCTACGAATAATTTATAGTGATTTTTTTTTTAATATCAGATATTATCTTGTTATACAAAACACATAGCAAGGTTTAAATTTGAGAAAATCCTTCAACTACTTAGGCCTACTTAGGGATGGTTCAATTCTGTACCAATTTTTCAGCCCAATGGAAATCGATTTAAGATATTTCAATTAAAATTGTGTGACTATTTTTAGTAGTCACTTCTTTGTTTTTTTTTTCAGTAAATTAAACCGTCAGAAGGCTATCCCATTAGTAATATTGGTAGTTGTGTGAACAATATCATCACTATTAATATTATTACAATAACCTGTTTAGAAGGGGTGGGGAGGTAATTATAGAGTGTTATAGGAAGGAACAGTTGTATGAACGAGGCTAAGAAGAAAACAAATATAAAAAAACCCACAGGTAGTTTTTTAATATAGATAATACATTATAACGTTGACTTATTATAATTGTTTTATCTGATGTAATATCGAACATTAACAATAATATTATAAAGTGAAGAAGATTTGAATTTCATTCATAAATTACTTGCGTAGTTCTAATTTTAAGTTGGTTTTGAAAAAGAAAAGTTGCACCTAATCAATTACGATATTATTCTGTTTTGTCGTGATACTTGTTTTGTTGATTTTGTATTCATATCTTCTTAGAGGACCTTAAAGGGGGGTTTAGGGGGCGATGCAGCAGAGAGTAGTAGTAGTAGTAGTAGTAGATACAATATTGTAAATAGAGAAAAACGTTTGACGGGGTGGGGCGTGCGACCGCCAAGACAGGTGACTACGGTGGTGTGGTAAAGTAAAGTCCAGTAAGTTGGAGTTTTTTTGATTTTTCCCCTTATAGATATTGGCCATGAACTCCGGTTTAGACTACGCCGTGGTCGACGGCAAGGACGTGTCGTCTTACGGGCATAAGGCGACGGAGGAAACTCTCAAGCTGTTCCAGTGGATCGACAAGCGCCGCAAGAGACCCCTGATGCTCGTTGTGGAAAAGTCGGAAGAGTTCTTGGGCAAACAGGCGGACAAACACCTCAGAGGGGCCGCCGCGGTGTTCACAGGAAGCACCGCCCGCCAACCGGAAAGGTATATAAAACAATTAAAAATTAAGTATATAAATAAATTACACATAAAAAAAGAAATTACACAACCGCGAAAGTCACGACGGTTTGCACACACAGTGTACTTACGCACATATCTTGTGTGTGTGTGTGTGTGTACAAGTGAGTTGTAAAACTTTATGACTTACACAAGACGAGAACTATTATATATTTTATACACTATATATATATATATATATAATATATGATATAAAACCAGCCTGAAAAACCCGTAGCAGCCTAGATCTACTGCTGCGGCGTGTGTATGTGTGTGTTTTAATTAATTGGAAAGTATTATAGATTTAGTCCGAGATATAAAATGCGAGATTACTTTAGTGCCGTTACAGCAGCGAGTCGTTGACGACCGCCGCCGATGTGTTCTCCTCGCGGACATGATTTTCATAAGAAGAAAAAAAAACTCAAGCCTAACCAAGTCGATAAACCTTAACCTTATCGATATAAAAATGTTTCGATTTTATCGGATAACGAATATTACTTAAAGCTTTAACGACGAGTACCAACCACCTACCTGAGAAGATATTGTTTTTACAACGGTGTGTGTAGCAGCAGCTGTTTCTTCGTGTAGCAGCTCCGTAGATAAGAAATCGTACCTGCAAGACACGTCTTTATTGAGAAAACGATTTTTTAATTTCATCCCTTCCCGAGAAAAACACTGAAACAAATTATACACACACCGTACATTTTTTTTTAAAACAGTCCAATTAGTCACAAATTTTTATCGAATATTCTCTAGACACGGTAGGCACTGCCGATAAACCAAAAACAGTCCAGACCGAGTACACATAGTTCAAACTAAGCACAGTCCAAACCTAATGCAGTGTACACCAGCAGTTCCAGCACAGTAAGAAAGTGTAAAAGTGAAGGTCCTGCGATTTAGATGCCGACTACTATAATTTTGTTGTTTTTACTTTATTGACATTATTTTTATTTATTATATACATATATTTTATACAAAACTCCTTAAAAACAGACCTCATGCAATCTAATTGAGGTTTACATGCCCCGACCCGACTATACTGGCATTTTTGTTATTACTTTTTGGACATTATTTGTATTTATTTAAAAAAAATTCATGTCTGAATAGGTTATAATCGTATCCACCCCAATACTGTAAGCACATTTTAAAACATAGTATTGCCATTAGGTGTACAACGATTTTATTCGATAGGTTTCTCTACCGGATCTTACAGATTCGCATCGAAGCGTTTATTTGAAAGTGATTCGGTCACTGAAGATATCTTAAGAAAATCACTTTCAGTTTGAATAATTCCTGTAGACCCGCGACTTATCCTGCCCCGACAAGATCTTAACATTTCAAAACTTAGCCTCCTGACAAAGGTGAATAACCTTATCCGTTCAGTCCATCTGGTGGGTGATGTAGGAATTTCGGTTTTCTTAGAATTCTCAACCATCTTATACATACTGCACTTGTCTGATGGATGGCATAACGTCGATAGTTTGGCGTATTATCGGTTTAAAGCGGTCTGCTGGTCGAGCGGTTATTGTAGATTCGAACTAATCCATCACTTTCTTGAAAAATAAAAAATGAAAAATATTGGTAAAACAAGTGTATGAACAAAAAAAAATATTAACTTAACAATGCGAAAAAATTCAGCTAAAAGCATTTCACTTTCATTGTGCAAATGTTTCTATAAAGCGATCAGTGTTAATAATTATTCTTTATGCAACAAATTATACACTTAAATATAAATACTGATGATAAATCATCATATAAATATGATGAATGTTTGCCATTTTTTATCTAAAAATAAATCTCTACTTTTTAAATAAATAAAATATACTTTTAATTATAAATTGTTTATTAATTGTTATGTTTTTTTTAAATAATTATAATTTTTTTTCTTAAATACAATTTAATATTGTAAATATACATATTTAACAACACAAATGGCTTACAAATGTTTTCTAAACATTATATAATCGTTTTGATATTTGTTAAGAGTTTATAATGGGATGTTTGTTTTATTAATAATTGATTTTCATTTTTCTGACAAAATATTATTTTAAAACAGTTAAAAACATTGTAATGATTATTATAAAATAAGATAAAATTAATATATAATAACAAACAAGTTTGGCTGTATGAGTATAACTATAAAATTTAAAATAAAAAAATATTCCAGTCTGGCATCTAAGTATAAATCTATAAATTTAAATTTATAAAATAATTAATTTAAAAAAAAAAAATTTACATTTCTAAGTTCTATTTGATTACACAAATTTGAAATTTCTTTTTAAAAACTATTATTGACATAAAACAAATAAGCCAATAAATTTATCAAAAATAAATTAATTGAATTATTAAATTTTTTCATTTTTATGGCGAACGGTATCTTTTTAAGTTATAATATTAAATTTAAAATTGTTTAATACTTATATTGTACTCGACAAATTTTGCTCGGATTTTACAAATTGATAAAACATTTTTTTGCAGAGTTGTCGAAAAAACTTAGTGGTTTTTTTTTTATATAAGCACAGCCAATGTTTTCAATTTACCCGCAAAAATATTAATTTTTATTGAATTTATGTACAACTAAAAAACTCAAAAAACTGGATTTCTGCTAAAGTATCTTTGCTAGAATTACCAACATCGACCGACCATTAGAGTTTTAATTGACCTCTATTTTTCTTCTAATTTTATTGCAACAATATTATCATTTATTATACACAGCCGTTGGATTCGTTTAGAAACCGATTTTTATATAAGTACCGCCCGGACGGGTTATGTTTCCAACCTGTGATGTATAAGTGTTTATACATGTAAATATAATATAAAACTAGACCTAAGTGTTGAAAAGCTGTTTTTGATATTTCCAGACAAATTAAAAAATAATAATACAGGTGCGTGAATAAATAATTAACATAATAACAATTTAGAAGAAGAAAAAAAAGAGTACAACCTATTTGATTAGTTTACATTTATCAACGGCTATTTATTATCTCTATTACTGATAACAATGGCTCAGGGGTCAGGGGAGGAGGGACTGGGGGGATTGCAGCCCTCGCAGAAATTCAATCGAAGGTTGCTATTTTTCTTGGACAGGAAGAAGGGCTATTGTTGGGTAATGAATTCGTGGAATTTTGTTTTCATTATTATTATTGTTATTTTAGTTTAATGTTGCTGTTGACCGCGAACAACCTGCTGGAAGCGTCCGTCGTGGACCGGATGAACGATTTCGTGGCCGTGCCTTTCCCCGACCGGGAACTCAGGCAGACCATGATCAAGCACTACAGCGGCATGTACCTGAACGGCTGCGACGACAAGTACCGGTCGGACTTGGAAAAACTGCACGGACAAGTGGTGAAAATCACCGAGAACATGCCTTTGCACGAAATCGAGAAGATGGTCAAGTCGTGGGCTTACGAGTTTAAAAAAAAAGAATCGCGCAAAGACGGCGCCGAAGACGGTATCAATCCTAGTTACATTTTGGACTGTTGCAAACAAGCGGTCGACCAGTATCAAGAAAAGGTCAGTTAAGTTAAGTTGTGTCTGTCCGCTACCCAGACAAACTACTTACATGTCTCCTGTGAATATCTTCTTCTTTTTTAAGCTTTTCGACCCACGCGGGGCGTGCGCCGACTCTGGGTACGCTTGTGTGCATCACAGATTAGATACAAACCACATAATAGTGCACTTTATTGTAAGACAATAGAATTTCGAATAACGATTTTTAAATAATTGGTTTACTCTTAATGCGTTGGGGCCAAACATTTTAATGCCGAAAATATTGTACACACTATAATATTACAATAATAACTGATAAGAAATTGTTAGTGATTAACTATTGTCGATAGTGATAACATTACAGATGATTGATAAAAAAATTGTCAACCACGTTGTACAACAAAAGGATTGTTTTTTTTTTCGTGTTTTGGTAACACTGGCCCGGCATCTGGTTTTGTCTAATCTGTGACTAGTGATAAGGCATGGTTTCTGATAAGAGACAGTTTTATTAGTTAGATTCAAATCAATAAAAGGTGAGGTTTGGCTAGGTTTAGGTTAGGTGGGAGTATGAAAAAAGTGTTTTTTTAATACATTTCGACCTTGTCGATTAATTTACCGGTTAATAATTTAACTAATTGGCTAATCGTATTATATTATATTACATTTCTGTGTGCGTTCGACCAACAGCTATACTAATAATATTGTAAACACGACTGCTTTGTTTTTTACAGAAGAAATGGATGGGCGCACAATCTTTCGAGGGTTTCCTACCGAAAGAAACGGCCGAAGGCCCTAACATATTGCGCGTTAATTCGTGACAGACAAACAACGTGATCCATCCCGTCCAAAAAAAGGTTTGCGGATTTTGAATTTTCGCCGGCCAAGTATTTCTCGAAAGCATTAGAAAAAAAAAACAAATCCAATGTCCGTACCGTAGCCTTGAGTAAATAATCATTTTTAGTACATTCTTACTGTAAAAATCATCTTAAACAGTGAGGTGATCATGCCAATGCGGAAAATATTTGTGTGTAATAAAAAACATAATATAATAATAATTATTATTATATAATATATTTAAATATATAAACGAAATCGTTAACAAACGTAATACGTTTAAAGCTATTTTTTTATGACTTGGCATACTTTCATTATTTTTTTGTGAAATCAGAATTATACCCAAATAGGAATTCACAAAGACTAGATTTCAAATGGGCAAACTTATACTGCACATAATATGTATATGATTAGCCTACAACTATTTTTGTCTAGCATATATATTTTGAAAATTATTATACACAATAATATTATGAGAAAAGTATTAAACGAAAATAATTCTGGTTAAAAAATATCGTCGAAAATGACCAAAATAATCTTTATTGATCTTTTAATTTCCAAAAAAACAGCTTGTTATGTGTGATAAGGTTCATATTTATACCTTATTACACAAAAGACTAGTACTGTCAAGTTCATTTTGAGTACATATTTTATTTTACTAAGTTCAAAGAAATAAAGAGAAATTCAATTAGTAGACACTAAATAATTTATAATATACATTTACTACATTTTTTCCACAATACATTTTAATAAAAAATGTGTTTTTATTTTAATTTAGTTGAAAGTAAAGTAAAGTAAAGTAAAACTGACAAATTTAGTAACAAAGTAGTTACAGACAAATTACAGTCAAAACGTACTATTTCCACTTAAACAAAAATTAACTTTTGGTGGAAAATGGTACGTTTTTATGCAATTTAATACTTAAAAATATCTTATTTAAGTATGAGAAATAAATGTCTGAATACTTTTACCGGCAACACTTTGTTTAACAATTTTTTTTTATAACTATTTTTAACACTTTTCACGACACCTATAACTCGAATGTTCCTCGCACAGCAGAAAAAGACAATAATATAATAAATTATACCATTATTGTATACATTTAATTTGTACTCATCCAAGGGGCTAACGGTAGGCAACTCAACATACACACAAAACCTCTTGCCCGAATCAACAGATGGCGTCGTCCATCGGAAACGGATTTCCTTTGCCCCGCTAGATGTCGGCATAGATCTTCTGTTTGGGTTAAATTTCAACAACGGAAATATCATAAAAAAAATTAACATCTAAAACGAGCTGAACAAAAAAAAAACCACACACCCAATGTTGATATCGTTCAGGAGAGAATATTACATTTTTTTAATAAGATTGTTTTGAAACGTTTTCATTGTAAAACATGTAAATACCGCGACAAATATTGTAAATTTGAGATTTTAAGAACTTTTATAAAAACAAAAAGCTCATTCAATTTTCCATCTATTAAATTTTCTATCAACAAGTGAACTTATAACAAGTATGCACTAAGCCATCATATGTATGTTATAAAAATAATTGTATAAAATTCTAATTATTTTATTTTTTAGAGCCTTAAGTGCCAACATTGAACGTAGGTATGTGTAATGCGGTTCTATTAATTTTTCAAATAATCTTCTACTTATTTCCACCAGTGTCGATTAGGAAAATTTCATGAAAAAAATAGTATTACAATGACTTCTGATGTTGACAACAATCACAATAAGTGAATATTGGCAAGTATATTATATATTTATATGTTAAGTTGTATGTAGGTATATGTAGATTTATTATGTTGTCTACTTAAGCATGTTTTTTGGTTTCTTTTTTTTTTAATAAGTTAGAAAAGGGCAGTTTGTAAAAGGTTTTTTTTTTGGGCAACATTTAAGAGCGAGCAACCAATTTAAATATAAAAGTCCTTAGATCTTTTTCTTAAGGTTATTGTAGTAGTCGATTTTAAAAATAAATGTTTCGTTTACTTTGAAAAAGACAAGGTTGTGTATAGCAAACAGATTTTCATTTTCAAGAATCAGTTAATGTGAATTTAATTTTAAAACTGTTTGATAGTAAAAAACATCTTTTTTGCATAAAAAGAAAATTTCAAAAAATCCCTTTCTGACATGACTTGTAGCCAAAGGACTCATCCCGCTTTACAGAGTGGAAATTGGACCATCTTCAGTAGTCAGGCTTTCATTGCCCTTAATTAAATTGTGATATTGACAAGATTTTTGGAAAATCAGTCGGTTAGGTAATACAGGTTCACGCCAGGCCTACCTTAGGTCTAATTTTTAGCTACTCCATTCCAAAACTACACCTAAACATTATGTGTCTTTGAACTATACATATATATATATATATATAGTACAAATGATACAGAACTAATTGTGACCGGAGACACTTGGTACTCGGTAATACAAAAAAGCAGTAAACTCTTCAAAAAAATAATTACATAGTTCTCAAACAACACCTTAACATTAAAATATAATAATTAAACTATATTTTTAAATGTTTTCAAATACTATAAGAACATAAACCAATTATACTCAGAAACTAAACTTCATATCCATAAAAAAAATTATATTATAAACAAAATTGTATTAATTTGTACAAAATAACTATTATTAATAACAGCTATTTATAACCATACAACACAAGATCTGAAAATCTCATAAATCCCAAAATAAACACCTCAAGACATTACAATAGCAATTAATGGCGTTATTATTATTATTATTTTTTCTCTCTTTTCTCTAATCATTGATGAATAATTTGTAGAAACATGTACTATGTCCTATGTACTATATTGTGCTGCTCATTAGTAAGATTATTATTATTTTAATTTTTAGAGACTCTCTTCCATCAAAACAAGGATTCTATCCAGTGCAATATCAATATAATATGTAATCCTTTTTTTTTTTTGTAAATGTCATTAATTGCTAAATAAAATGATTTATCTATCTTTATGCGCCAATTAAGATGTACAGTCAAAGCCGAGGTCGTGGGCGTCGAGGACTAGAAAACAGAAGTCCAACAAACCCGTAAGGTATAATTAAATACAAAAAAAAAACAACCTAAGGTGTATAATTAAACATATTATTACACCGAATACGAGGCGTATAAATTAAAAATACATATATTATCATAACACTAGTGTAAGAATAT